AAGCGGGCGTCGCTACGCAACCGTCCGGGAATCGACCCCAGACCATCAAGGGCGTGCCGCCGGACCAGCCGGTAAGTGAAGACTAGGCCTAGGAAACGGACAAGAACCCATGAACCAGTTACATAAAGACACAAGAGTCATTGCATAGCAATTCTCAATCACTGCGGATCTTGGCTGGTTTCAACCTAGAAGTGACAAGCCACATATCCAGCATCGATTAACAGAGTTGTCCCCCTCCCCACCCACCCACCCACACACACGTTATACCCCTGCCAAAAAAATCCATCTGATTTTAGACTCTCCAGGAAGCAGGCGAACTGTACACAGGACCAGGAACGAAAAGCTGGGCACCTGGCTGAACAATAACTCTCTGTACTGCCATTGGGATTGGATGCCTGGCTCCTTGCTCCCTGTAGCATGGTTGGAGTGTACTGCAGAAGCTACCTGCAGCTACACTTCTCTTCCAGTAGGCGGCGCTCCCTCAATGTTGTGAACAACGCGGTTGAGCTACATGCCCTGGAAAAGCTCTGGTCCCATCTTCTCACCCTCTGGTTTGCTTTCAGCCATCAATAGAGGGCACAATCTGATCAGTTACAATTGTCCGTCTATGTTCGTGAAGACCTGCAGGAGCCAGCATTGTAAGGGATATTCCATTTCTGTCCCGCCTACCTCAGGAGTGCTGAATACAGACTGGTGGGCGATTGTCAATAGACAGCTGGGGCAGCTTACGTCTCAGCACAAAGCCGGCAGTTCACAGTTACCACTGCAATGTGCAGTTTGTGACCGACAGCCAACAAAGATACGGGCTTTGATTAGTTCTTAATGAATGAACATGATCCTGTTAGAAACACTGTGTCCTAGCTGCTAGAGGAGTGGTGTGCTCAGGTCACCACTGGGACAGATATTGCAACCCATGCACTATCTCTGGGGATCATATTGTATTACATTTAGGAATGGTTTATGTATCTCTGTGGGCCAGGGATTGTATAGGCGGGGGGGGGGAGAGTACCAAAGCCTCTGCCAAGAACTAAACAGAGTGGAAGGCAATTAAGGCAAATCACTCAGGTTGTAAACATCCCCAGAGAGGTACCGCTCCCTGAAGGCTTGCCTACGCAGGTTCAAACTGGATTTTCCAGAGACCAACAGACAACCTAAGGGCTTTTGGCATAAAAAGGCTGACTTTAAACTGACTCAGGGCCTTCTTTCTGACTCAGCAAACGGACAGGACCATCTGTCCAACGGGGGTGGGGGCACCAACTCTGGCGGAAGGGTTTCAAAGACTTTAGCCTACTAGGACTCCATAAGATTGATGGGTGACACCTGTTGAGCTTTTAGCATGCGTGCAGGAACATCGATTGTTTTTTGTATGTCTTCTCTGTAATGCTTTTACCTTACAAATAAATGTATTTTACTTTGTGGAGGCTGGTTGGTAAGTGATGTACACTGCTGTAAGCCCTGGAGAAAGGGTACCCACAGGTGCTGGACCCTGATGGGGAGATCACAGTGAGATGTAATGGGACTGCAAGCCTAAACTCCCGGTCTGGAGGGAGAGAGAGATGTCTCTGCCCAAGCGAGGTGACGACTGGGAGCCTGAAACCTTAAGTGGATGTCTTTGCACAAGGCAAGAAGGGGTTCAAAGGTGCGGTTAACCTGAAACTGAGAGAGTTAGCCCGTTTAAGGGAATTTCTGTTCTCTCGTGAGCTAAACCTGTATCTGGGCGATAGCAGACTCCACACAAGCTCTCGGGTGGTTTTAAATATTTGAATATATATTTTTAAAAGTCTTGGTGACAGAAAGTTGACAATTGGTGCAACAATGACCTACAGCAGGTCCCTGCCCAGACAGGAGTGCCCATTTTGCACACGAGTTGTAAATTAACCGGGATTTTCTATTCAGCTTATTCTAATAAAGTCTCTTCTTATCACTTGCATTGAGCAGTGGGTCAATCATCCACATGATCACTAGGGTCCCTCTCACACTCTGTCTAATATGTCAGGGCTTATAGAAATATTAGGCACCTTTAGATGTACCAATCTTTTATCATGGGGACTGTCTCCTGGGCTCTCTGATTTCATTCAGAATTACAATCTTCCCTTTTCATTAAAAGACAACTTTGTGCATTTAGTGATCAGGTTACCCAATAACATCGGGCTGAAGAGATCAAGATAAGAAGATGGACACCCTGTTATTTAATAAATGTTATTTGGGCCCTTAGATTTTGATCAAATTAAACAGGGAACCAAACTAACCAATGGCTGAATTAAGTGGAAGATACGTTGCACGGTGGAATGCTTTGTGTACCATTAACATAAATTCCAGCAATCTCATTATAGATGTAAAATATGGCAGCTTATCCATAGACAAACCCATACACACCCCATCACATGCTCACCAGCCTTTATAAAGGGACTGCTGGAAACGTCACTCAAGCACACAGGAAGAGAACAGACTCTTGCAATGCATTTATGATAGCTTCTGAACACAACTTTGTATAATTTTTTCTGGGGACAGATTCTCTAGAGTAATTAATATTTCTGGACCCATCTGAAGGTCACTGTGGTCTATTATGATTTTTAAAAACACAAATAGATATATTCTGGAGGTGAGAGGATATAAGCACATTCTGAAAGCTGTGTAGCCAATTGCTACAATACCCCGAGAAGCAGAGGGGAAGGGGAATTAGACTGGATTATGATATTGCTATTAATATTAATTTATTTTTATTACTGTACTGCCTAGATACATCCTGAAATTTGCAAGACAGCCTTGCAGCCTATAAGCCTGACCCTCAGGACAATGAAAACAATCCTGAATTTATTTTTAGCATCACAAAAAGGCTAAATTGAGTCATCAAGATGTGTTGTGTTGAGACACTATGGTGACTGTGATTTCATGATGTAACGACAGGACAAAAATTTCCTTCCACAACTGGCAGAGAATCAATCCCTCATCTTTCCCCAGGTGAGAGCATAAGCAGTTCCACTATCAGTTATTTGGCAAGAAACGTAATTCAGTCCTATTGAGAATGATGGAAAGGAGGAAATAACCTATCCTTATCATTTATAAACCCAGATGTGAAGGTATCGCTGCTTAGTATGTGCACTAGCTTGTTTGTTTTTAAAGATAGTGGAAGGAATTCAGTTAAAGTTGCAACATAGTATGGAACTGGTCTCATAAAAGAGCTTTATGTGCTTTACTGTTTACATCTAGTGACATTAAGAAAAAAAAAAACCCACCAGGGTCGCACAAGAAATAAATGGCAGGGCTAGGAGAACCCAGGAGTCCGAACTCCCAGTCTCCCACTCTAGCCACCAGCCTTGCACTCTCTCCCTCAGCAAAAACAGGAGACATACTCACCCTTCCCAAGCTGCACAAAACCAAGGATGATGATCAAAGCGAGAGCCAGCAGTTTCGCCGCTGCAAACGCATCCTGGACGCGGGTGGCAGCTTTCACGCTGTAACAATTCACCGCTGTGAGAAACACTAAAGACAGAGATAAGGAGAGACAAATCAGTTTCCATTGCAACTAGTCTTTAGAACACAAAACATACCCTGGGACTTCTCACCGGCCTTTGCTTTCTGTTAAAATTTAGTAAACACAAATTGCTTAAAGAAAAAGAAAAAGAAAGAAAGAAAGAAAAAGAACAGAGCTCACAATTGCATCCATCTTAGGACTCTCTTACTTTCTAAAGACTTGGTAGAAAATCTCTATATTATATTAAGTAGTAACCCTATGTTATTTAATGTAGTAAAATCCCTCCATATTATCCACAAAGTCAGAGATCTCTAGCCCCTGAGAATACTTATCAGACACTGGGTCTACATACTCCCTGGAGTATATTATTCCGTATAGTCAAAGGTTTGCCATATTTTAGCTAACACGGGTTAGGGACTAAAAATAAATATTTAAGATAGAATTGTCTTGGGACAAATCCCTCCCCCCCCTATTTCTTGTCTTCAAGAAGGCGGTCTCTACAGATTACAACTCTCTGGAGCAGGGACATGCCCCCTTATATGGGTATAGTGACACATCATAAAAATTGTACTAACAGTAAAGTACATGGCTTCAATACCTCCTAAACCAACCCCATTACTCCTATGGTCAAGCCAGCTTACATATAATCACCATGGAAATACAGACTCCAGAAGCTATTTCTAGCGCGGATATATTACCTGCATTGCAACGGCACCCAATTGAAATTGAGGACACACTGTGCTAGACACTGTGCAAACCCACCGGAAGAGAAAGTCCTGGCCCTGAGGTGTTTAAAGTCTCAGTAAACAGGACAAATACAGAGTGGGAGGGAAAGGAAAAGCAACTTGTGCAAAGTGACAGTGCAGGTCAGAGGCAGAACTGGGACTAGAAATCAGGTCTCCTGACTTCCAGACCAGCACGCTGTCCACTAGATCACACTGCCTCCATATAAGCACAAGGCATTTTGCCACCTTTAATGTGAAAGCTGCTCACTAACAAAACCTTTTATTTCCTTTTAAGATAGTAAGTGATCAGAAGAGTACACAGTTTTCACCCCGTGGTCACTCTCCTTGTCCAGCTCCCCTCCCCTGCTGGGGAGATGGGCAAGTAGTGCCAGGTGAAACCAGGGTTAATGGTATGCCGTATAGTGGTGAGCAGCCCACAGCCTGTTCTATAGAACTCTCCTCTGTTCGAACCCAAATCTAAGCACATCACCTCTCTCCAATATACAGCTACCCTATGCTTGCCCCAGAGCTTGGATCCAATACAGCACCCAGCTCCCCGCTGCTGGCTGCAGGCCTGGATCCAGGCAGTCACTGAGTTGTCTCTGGGGCATCTGATCTTGTTGATGTTTTTCTTGAGCTGTGATTTTGCACACGGGTTAGTTCTGATCTTCTCGCATGTGGGCTACAATGTATATTTTTAGTCTTCAGAAGCCAGATGAGTTTTCTAAAAGACAACAGAGGAGAAAGGCAGCCAAGTGGGGCGGTATATGTTCCAGGATGGGTCATACTAGACCCCAGGCTACTGTACATTCCAATGCATGGCTGTCACCGGTTTACTTTTTGCAACAGGCATCTGCCTTTAAATCACAAAACAACCCCCATCCCCTATCAAACTACTGTCAGCACAACCCGGACTCAACAGGATCCTCGGCCAAACGCAGCAACGCTTCCCCAAGATATGTAGTATACAGGTCATTTATTCACGTCCCAGTTACACCTTTCGTGCTGTGGGCAGGACTGGTGTGATTTTGAAGGCAGGGGGCAGAAGAGAGTGAGAATGGGCTACAGATTCACAGACACCAGCTTCCCCGGCAGTCTGATCAGAAAGAAAAAGAGAGACAACAAACAGGAGTGGCTGTCGGCACCATGTGACAGTCCTGGCCCGGATTGAACTCATTGGTTTCCCCTGTGGAAAGGAGGAGAGGGGCAGCGTGGTATCAAGCATGCTTAGCTGACTGGGCTGGAAGGAGTTAACGTGTCTGTGCACAGGTAGGGTGGACAGCGCAGAGCCCTGCAGTCACACCACCAAGGAGAATTATTATATTCTGCTATCCACAGGCAGGGATGAGAGGGTCACATTTGTATCTCTTTCCACTTTGTTCCGATGGAATCAAGGCAACACAGCCGACCACACACAAAGCCTTCCCCAAGTGTCTGGGAGGGCTAAGGGCGTCCTGCCCCTCCAACTCAACATCTTCCCGATCAGCTCTTCTCCTTCCACCCACCTACCGATGGGGTGCAGCAACAGGTTCCGTTTCAGAGGCGGGGAGAGTTGATTTGCAGATGGGAAACCCCCCAGCCAGTTTTCCGCAGAGCTTTTAAAGAAAGATGTGATTATTCTCTTAAGTATTCCGCCCACTTCCCCCCAAGCTAGTCAGTGACCCTCTCAGCTCCCTGCACTCAGCCCGGCCAGAGAAGTCCACAGGAGCTGGAGTCCAAGAGCACTGAGAGGCAAGGTCCTACCCAGCACTACCAGCAGCTGAACTGCTTTGTCACTGTATCACAGTAGTGCCTAGGCACCCCAAGGAGGGAGCTGGGCCCCAATGTGCGAATATCAACATTGCAGATATTAAGAAAAGATGAACCCTTCTCCAAACAGCTGCTTTGTGCAGTGCTGCAAAGAGCCTTACTGAGACTTCTATCCATAATAGGTCAGAGTTTACAGTCCAGGTAGAGCAGACGTAGCCTGGGTGTGATGCTGGCATGCGTTGGAGGGGATTTTCCATTTTCAAATATTGGTGGAGGGTTTGTGTCCTTTTCTTTTTTGGTGGGGGGGGGGGGAGAAATAGGGGCTGAGATCCTGAATAGTATAGTCACCCATGGACTTCCAGCCTGAACACTGAAGTGATTCAAAAGCTGGTTTTTCTCCTCTGGCCATTTGAAACAGCCATCCCAGGGAGAGCTGTGCAGAAAGTTTAGGAAACGTGTGGAAACTGCTGAGATTGCACAAATTGCTGGACACATTTGTGCAGGCAGTGACAGACTGTGAAATGGGGCATGCCATCCAGAATCTGAATGCTGAACACCTGACCCTCAGGATTGATGCACCCCAAACCGGCAGAATCACATGAGTGAAACCGCCAAACTGTAGTTAATATTCCATATGCCAGCTAGTAGTAATTTCCCTCCACCTATGGACTTACAGCCAAAGGCCTCCAACATTTAAGTAACCCTCACAGCCGCCCTATAAGGCAATAAAAGAGAGGAAAAGCTGATAGCAAACTGGCGCTGTAGCAAACTGAAAAAAACCCTTCTCTCCACCCCACCCCCAGCAATTAATCTAAGTGGGGTGGAGGAGGAAGGGGAACACGCGCACACACACATACACACACACACACACTTAATATTTTTGCTTTTAAATGTTCTAATTTGTTAGTTCCTGACTTGCATTTGATGGGGTCTAAACATCGGATAAAACTGTTGCCTTACTCTTCCTGCGAATATCACGTTCAGACGATATACTCAGTGGAAGGCAAGTTCAGGGAGTTACATGACTACCGTGCTTCCAGAGCTGAGAATATCGCCTGTGGTGCTGGGTGAACGTAGATGTGCTTGCCTCGGCCCGCCCAGTGCCGGACTAAGGTTTCCTGTACATCTGAGGGTGCAGGGACACACTATGCATGTGTGGATTTGATATAAATGGTTAGTGTTGTTCTTAGTGTTTGAATGAATCATCACAGTGAGTGGATTTCCTGGTGACGCAGCACACCTGAGCAAGACGGAACCACGATTGCATCATTCATTCAAACAGCATGAAAAGCTCACTGTAGCACACAGCATGGCAAGGACACCGGTTGTTCTAATGCCCAAACTCTGCCCGCCCAAGGACTGCAACAGAGGCGTGGCAGGAGCTTGAAGGCTGAACCAAATTTGTATAAAACAGAGCAGTTCACACCCACTACTGTGCAACTTTCTACCAAGGGGCGTGGTGGATTCACCATCACTGGCCATTTTAAATCAAGACTGGATGTGTTTCTAAAAGCTCTGCTCTAGGAATTATTCTGGGGCAGCTCTCTGGCCTGTGTTATGCAGGAGGTCAGACTAGATTATCACAATGGTCCCTCCTGGCCTGAGAACCTACAAAAGACAACAGGTCCTAAAATGAAATGCTCGTTGTTGCAACTCTCTTGACAATTAGAGAGGATTCTTTTAAAACTCCTGTTTCTGGAGTCATGTGAAATTGTGAGGATTTCAGCTTTCATTTAAACAAAGAATTCTGGCCCTCATGGTTGTAGAGAAAAGCATGAAAGTGTGACCCAATATAGTCTAGAGGCTCAAAACGGAAAGAACCCAAAATGTTTGTAAATGTATAGATCATAATTTTTAAGCCAATCTGGCAGTTTTGGGGGGATGCAACTCATGAGTTTGAATGTTGGGGGTTTATGACACAAACACTCCATCCTGACCCAGAGCTGCTCTGTGCAGGACCTAAGGTCTCCCCACGTGGTTCCTTTCAGGGTGGATGTAGTTCTGCACTGCATGCTACACGGGCTGTGCTTTGGCTGACCGGCTTTAATGTATAGGAGAGAACATAGGATTGGGAACTGATGGCGCTGTAGCAAACTGAAAAAAACCCTTCTCTCCACCCCACCCTCAGCAATTAAAATCCATAGAACATGGCTCCTTTGCTACATATAGTTCAAGGGAGATAGGACATATCTCCGTGCCTCATTCCAACCCGACCAAGTGGTCTGACTTTGAGGTTATTCAGTAGGAAAAGCAGCAGGCAGCACTATCAAAGCTCAGCAGGAGAACGCCTCAGAGATAGAGCTCCTATCAGTGTGTAACAAGTGAACACCCAGCATCTACAGCAAAGTATTTTCTTAGAAGGGGCACTGTTAAGTTAGCTGTTCTATAAAGTAGCTCCCTGCCTGGGTAGGTAAGGCAATCTTAGGGTATGTCTACACTAAGGGAAAAGGTGTGTTTAAACATGATCATTAACACACAATAGCTTCCACTTTTAAAACCCAGGGTTGTGAGTTCAATCCTTGAGGGGGCCACTT